TCCGGATCCTGTCACAGAAGCCCCACATTAAACCAGTACCCACAACAACAATAATTTAGTATCACAATTAAATTAAAAAAAAAAAATCGGGCAAATAAAGAATTACAACCAGCTTACGACTGAAATACAATTAAATTTTAAAGATCAAGTCATAAATCGCTTGAAGGAGAAAGTCACAATCATTTTATTCCTGCTTACATACCTAATTTTGGAGGAATATGGGAACCGGACATCCAATCGATAAAGAACCATTTGAAAAGAATATTCACCCGTAACTTGTTGCGTGAGTAGGACGTCGTGGTGTGAGAGTGAGAGAGTAAGACTTACTGCTAGGAACTCGTACGCGGCGGGCATCTTGTTGTGTATGTGCGCCTGCAGCGCCTTCAGTACCGCGATGTTGTCTCGCTCGCCACCGTCCTCCACGTACGACGTCAGCTGCAGTACCCTGTGCACGACAAAAAAACAAGTTATACCAAGAACATCCAAATAAATTTACTCTTCCAACATCAAATATCTATTCCATCCGTTCCATGTATCACGTCCGTTACCATCTCTAAGAGTATTGGAATTCTCGGTATCGACATCTCTAGCACAGTTGAGTTCCGTAGACACCTCAAAGGAAAGGTTAAGCTGACGTCCAAAAAACTCGATGTGCTCAATAGAACGAAGCGGTACTTCACTGCGGACCAGAGACTCCTCTTATATAAGTCTCAATTTCAGCCGCACATAGAGTACTGCTCTCATCTTTGGGCAGGAGCACCTGGATACCAGCTCGGTCTTTTTGACTCGGTTCAGAGACGTGCTATGAGAATTGTCGATGATCCCAATCTCTCTGGCGGTATTGAGACACTTAGTTTGAGGCGAGGCTTCGCTTCGCTTTGTGTGTTCTACCGATTATACAACGGACTGTGTTCTGAGGAAATGTTCGACATGATGCCTACGGCCACCTTTCACCATCGCACCGCTCGCCATCGACAGAGAATTTATTCCCACATGCTGGAATCTAAGTGGTCTCGGACAGTGCGGTTTCAAAGGAGCTTCCTCCCGCGTACACTTAGATCTTAGATTGTGGAATGAACTTCCTGCCGAGGTTTTCTCACGCATTTACAGCATGGGGTTTTTCAAGAAGGGTATATTAAGGTTTTTTAAGGGTCAACAACGCGCACGGGGCACCCCTGGTGCTTCAGGCGTCCATAGGCTACGGTAACCATTTACCATCAGATGGGCCGTATGCTTGTTTGCCACCATAGTAGTATAAAAAAAAAATTTGCCACTACAATCGTGATATTAATGTATACATTTAAGATATAATATAAAAAAAGTGTACACACCGTATAATTTCATGTATTTCATCTGCCATCCTCTGCGCCAGATAATTTCTGTTTTCAGCTGCCTCGTCTATGCCCTTTCCACCTGTAATGGCAGGTCATTATTAAACAATAACTAGCTACGCACCCCGGCTTCGCACGGATATACATGTATTATACATATAAACCTTCCTCTTGAATCACTCTATCTATTAAAAAAACCGCTTCAAAATCCGTTGCGTAGTTTTAAAGATTTAAGCATACAAAGGGACGGACAGACAGCGACAGCGACTTTGTTTTATACTATGTAATGATTATAATTAGACAATATTGATATTATAATTATTGTATAGACTTAAATTGCTTTGTCTCATCATCATCATCATCATCTCAGCCTGGAAGACGTCCACTGCTGTTCAAAGGCCTCCACCAAAGATCTCCACGACGATCAGTCCTGCGCTGCTCGCATCCAATGCCTTCCAGCGATCTTGACCAGATCGTCGGTCCACCTTGCTGGAGGCCTTCCCACGCTGCGTCTTCCAGTTCGTGGTCGCCACTCGAGGACTTTACTGCCCCAACGACCATACGTCCTACGAGTTATGTGCCCTGCCCATTGCCACTTCAGTTTTGCAATTCTTCTAGCTATGTCGGTCACTCTGGCTCTTCTGCGGATTCTTTCTTGTCTACTGAGTTCTTATTAGCTAGCTAACCAGATATGGTAGGGTTAGTGGAAAATTACGTCTTTCAAAAGAGTGCTATCTGAATAAACAATTCTAACTCTTTATTGAAGCCTCTAATAGTAAAAACTTTCATAAGTACACTGTCTACTTTTCATAAACCGTAAAGTTGGTGGAGTAAGGGAGGCTGCACTGACCTTCGGTAAGTATGTGTATGTATATCTTCATGGAGCAGATGAGGACGGGCGCTAGTTGCTTGACGCTGTCGAGGCAGCGCGTGAGGGTCTCTGCATGCGGAGGATGCGTCAGCTCGGATGCACGGGCCGCCACCTTAATCACGCACCAAATTAGTAATTTTTCATCCATTGTATTTGTTTTACATAGTTTAGGGGACAAATGAGTATGCGGCTGATGGTCAGTGATTACCGCCCATGAGCACCAGCAAAACGAATGAAATTTCAAGTGTGTTGTCGGCTTTTTAAGAAGGAATAAGCTCTTTTCTTTAAGGTTTCAGTATCGTATCGGTTCGGAAATACCAATACTGGAAATTTGTAGTTTGTAATTCCTTGGGAACCCTTCTTATTTATATACCATCAATAAGAAACCAGATTTTTTGCTATCCCCATAGTTTATAACGAGGTTGTCTTGCGGCCTCTGGCGTTTGACAGTCTCGGTGGTATAGTACACCGCTCTACTTCCAATGATTGCGGGTTTGATTCCTCGCACGGTGCAAACATTTCTATTCATGAGTATGATTGTATCAGTCTGGGTGTATTCTATATATATTATGTATGTATAACATAATAAAAATTAAGTATTTATATCAGTTGTCAAGTACCCATAATACAAGATCTGCTTACCGTGGGACTAGATGGCGCTCTGTTAATTGTCCAGGGTTGTTATTTATTTATATGTATTATATTTATTGTCCTCTCAGGGACTTGTTACCGAGTAGCGAACTGTACAAGTAACTGCAATTCGTAATTTTTATCACCAATTCATATATACCTTCAGAGTTACATTATCAATTTCCTGGTCCAGAATGGAAGGTAAATTGAGAAGTATAGTCTTTAAGAGAGGCTCACCTCCCTGGCGGCGCGGGACAGTGCCGGCGAGATGTCCCTGAGGAACTGCACCAGGTCCTCCATCGTGTCGATCACCTCCGCAACGCCCAGGTAGTCCAAGACCTGTAATCAGACACACATTATTCAGTTCTCTGAACTTTGTCTTGAACTTAACTTTTTTATTGCTGCAGCTAAAACATCTAATATTATAAAGATGAAAGTTTGTGTGTGGATAAATGGTTGGATGGGTGATTGTTACTCTCTCAAAAATTAATGAATGGATTTTAATCAAACTTTACAATAATATAAAAGAATGTATGTCTGTATGCCCGCACAAGCATGCTGATAATTTCAGAATCGGTTTAATCAATTTGGGTGCGATTTTCACTAATGTACTTTACTTAAAATGTAATATTTGGTTTCGACCAACCAGGTTACAAACAAAATAAATATATCGATAGGAAGTCACGAGTAAAGTTTGTTAGGTTGTAAGGGATAATCTCAGGACTTACTGAACCGATTTTGAAAATTATTTTAGTATTACATAACCCATTTCTCGAGGAATATTATACCCTAGAACATCACGCCATCAATAGGAGCCGAACAGCAATTAAAATGTTGCAAAAACAAAGAAAGTTAAAGCAGATAAAGATACGCGTGTTTCGATTTATTTGCAAAAAACAAATAAACCATACCACTAAATAATTATAAAAAAAAACTATGTTACTCAACTATATTGTATGTTACAGATAAATTGCTTTTGTTAAAAGTAAATCAATTCATCGTTGCTTCTTCCTTATCCCATTTATTTGTGGTCGTCGTAATATGTTTTTCTCTTCCATTCATCCCTGTTCGCAGTCATCGCGTTATTTACTTCCTTTCTTACCATATCATCTTTCACACAGTCCATCCATCCCTTTTTCTGCCTTAAAACTGAATCAAATATACTAATTTTTTATGGCCTAAAATAAAATAAAATCTAAATACATGTGATAAGAATTAGCTGCATAGTACATGCTCTACTAACTTAACAACACTTGGGAGCTCACCTTCTTGCATTCCTTAACTATCTTCCTCACTTCGGACTCGTCGAAACAGAGCAATAACGCTGACGTGCCTTGAAGGATACCTCTGGAGCCTTCTATCAGTTTCTTCCTGAGTTGAAAACATAATTTTATTAAATTTATAATAGCTATGCCAACGTCATAACATGCTTTTTCAGCAATCCGTCGGCTTCGCTCGCGTTATATATTTTCACACACTTCCTTATCTTTTTATATATTTTATCTTCCTTAAAAATATGGTCGAGCCTCATCCGTCATACTCGTGAAGGGTGGAATTTATCAAAAGACTATTCAAAAGTGCTTCAATGTAAGTTTGTATGAATAAATGATTTTCTATTGCTTGCTTTCCGAAGCTAACGGCCCGCCTGATGTAGAAATGAATATTTTTACTTCAAGGATATGGTTAGTGACCATTAGGGCATCTTACAGCGATGTATATGCATCGGTGTAAGAGAATGCAAAAATGAAATAAAACACACAGAAACACACAGCAAATTAAAGACAAAATTGGAGTCGTGTCGTATTAACATATAAAGCAATGATTGCCAAAGGGCTCTATATCGATCCTCAGGGGTCTATGACAAACTGCAAGGGGTCTACGAGAGCGGTCATCTTATTGTTTTTACTTTACTATACTATAGTTAGAAATTTACAAAAAATCAATACCAAGTAAGAATGGGGGGTCTACCCAAAACCGAGAAATATGGCAAGGGGTCTGAGACACAAAAAAGTTTGGCAACCTCTGATAAAGCATGACGGAGGATCCTGGAAAGTGGCAAGAGCTCCACCGACAAGAGCGGGGCTTTTAAATGATGAATGAGTGGATTGGCTAACAATCTAAGTACTCACATGATTGACTTAAATAATTTAAGTCAAATTGAAATGTAAAAGAAAAATATAATCCTATTCTATAGATATTTTTTTTTTTCTCTCAAAGGAGGAATACCTGTGGGACACAGTTACCTAGATACATCAAAATAATAATTGCATTTAATAATGTCTAGTAAGACAAATTCAATATTGTCTACTAAGCACTGCTGTGTCCAAACTGTGTCACCCCACCTTACATTTTCCTATTGTTATTTAGTATATAAGATCATTATTTCTATGTACATATTGTCAGTTTATTATCATCTGTAATATACATCGTCTCGACCAACAACATCGTATCATTTACCCGCAACAATTAACATAATAAGAGGACTGACTTATGTATGTGGAAAGAAAGAAAAAAAAGTCTACTCACATGATGGTAAGTGATAACTAATGCCCGTACAGTAACTGCACTATGGTTATATCAACGTCTACTGACACGGTATCGTTCATAGTGCAAATATTCTATAATTGTGTGGATATTGCCGCAATGAATAATCAATTGAACATAGTAACATGTAATCTATGTTTGGACTCCTTTATCTGCATCTATGTGTGATAATTCCAGCATAACCAGGGTTACTATACGTCAGACTTAAAATAAAACCGGGAAAATGCGTGTGTGACCAGTTACAGCAAATTCAACTTCAGAAATCATTTATTCATCCTTAGTAATATTATAAAGCAACTCTGTCTGTCTGTCTGTCTGTCTTCCGTAGTTGTCACGCTTTTACGTGAAAACTATGGAAGCGATTTAAACGAAATTTGGTACACAGATAGTCTAGACCCTGAGAAAGGACATAGGCTACTTTTAATGCGAAAAAGGGTTGTAAGGGGTTGTAAAGGGGGATGAAAGGTTGTATGGAAGAATCGTCATTTTTGAAGCTAGAAACTTGAAATTTGTTTTTGAGGCTGTTGAATAAATACTAATAAATATGACATTCAAATTTTGTAAAAATGTTACTCTTAAGGGGGTAAAATTTTAACCTAAACGGGATTGAAATTTGTCTGGAAAATCTTTCTTTTTAATTGCCTTTTTTGGGTGAGATTATGAAAGTTTTCGTTGTTTGGAGAAGGTATAACACGCGGACGATGTCGCGGGCACGGCTAGTGTAGTATATTTTAGCCGCTTATGAACTTAATTTTTTTGTATATCATAATTTTTCCGTACCGTCCTGTTCAATATATAGATCCTGTTGAGAAGAACTGGCAAGAAATTCAATTGATTTTTTTTTTTTTTTAAACCAGTTTATGTATATTTATATAGGTGTCTGTCTAACATTAAATTAAAATCCCGTGCATGAACAACTATTATAATATAATATAATAATAATATAATAATCTCAGGACAATTCACACAGCGCCATCTAGACCCAAATTAAGCTAGCTAGAGCTTGTGTTATGGGTACTAGATAACTGATACATATACATAGATTTTTTTTTTTTGTAAATACATACATATTATACATAGAAAACACCCAGACCGATACAAACAATCATACTCATGGATACAAATGTTTGTGCCGTGCGAGGAATCGAACCCGCGACCATCGGTCGTAAAGCGGTGTGCTTGACCGCCAGACCACCGAGGTCGTCAATATTGTCATGCACGCTCGTTATTTAAGTAATCGTTTAGTGAATAACCGTAGTCCATCAGTTACGCCGTATGCTAGTTAGACTGTCGTAGTATAAGTGACTGACCTGGCGGGCCCCGAGCACGGGTTAGCTCTGAGCACGTCAGTTTCAGTAACCGTTAACCATCAGACGGGCCGTATCCTTGTTTACCATCATCGTTGCATAAAAAATAGTGTTATAAGTGACCTGGCGAGCCCTGAGTACGGAACATCCCTTCACACCCCTGATCTCTCATTAACCGTTTACCATCAGCCAGGCCGTATGGTAGTTAGCCACTGTCGCAGTATAAGTTAACATGACCTGGCGGACCCCGAGCACGGGTTAGCTTTGAGCACGTCAGTTACAGTAACCGTTAACCATCAGGCGGGCCGTATGCTTGCTATCGTCGTAGAATAAAGAAAATAGTGTTATAAATGTCCTGGCGGGCCCCGAGTACGGATCAGCCCTTCACACCCCTGATAAGAGAACGACCGTTTACCATCAGCCGGGCCGTATGCTAGTTAGCCACTGTCGTAGTATAAGTCTGACCTGGCGGGTCCAGAATAAGGGTCGGCCCGTAGCATATCGGAGGCCTGCTGCAGCAGCGCGGCGGCAGACTCCACGCGGAGAAGTGCGCCCGGCATGTCCTGACGCAGCACCGCATCATCCGAAGACTCGATCGTTTCGTGGCCCACCTAACACACATACAAACATTATTACTATTTCTATGACAACAATGATATGTTATGCAGTTTCTGAATTTTCATATGAATAAAATCCTTAATATACAGGGTTACTGGTTCTGTTCCCGTTAAGGGTGTATAGTTTACATAATTTCTGATAGATTTCACTGTGAGACACGCTATCCTAAATCTAACCGTTTTAGAGATATTTAAATTCAATTGTTTTTTTATTTAAAAATTTCACCAATTTCGGTAGATATTTTAAAATGTGTGTAAGTATTATTATTACTATAATTTGATTATTAAATGTAAAATAAAATGCTCTATCACTTTAATAACCAATATTATACGTATAATGAATAAGTAAGTAGATAAAAACTAAAAAAATATATATATATAATAAATTAAAAAGTTAATTTCTCTGTATTTGGATATCTGAAAAAAAAAATATGGCGCCTATTCAGCAGATTAGAAATATCTACTTTTCATCAGCTATCCGATGAGGATGAGGTAGATAACAAACTATGGTTTTATCAAATATTTGTAAAAAAAAACTTAGTTGCGAGTATAACGCACTACATTGGCCCTAAAGAACAATTGATTTATATTGTGTTAATTAAATAAATAAATAAATAAATTGGTGTAGGCCTAAGGGCCTAAGGACCCTAAAGAGCAATTTTTAAATTTAGGACCTGGAGACTCGCAACTAAGTTATTTTTCGATTAGGTCGACTTAACCAGTAACTCTGCATAATCAATGCGAAAGTAACTCTGTCTGTCTGTATATATATACGAGCTGTGTGTCCGCGTGGAATTTATCCTTACTTTTTTTAAATAAGGTTTTTCTAAAATAAAAGTAGCCTAACTTACTTTTTTTTTTTTTTTTTATACTACTATGGTGGCAAACAAGCATACGGCCCATCTGATGGTAAATGGTTACCGTAGCCTATGGACGCCTGAAGCACCAGGGGTGTCACGTGCGCGTTGCCGACCCTTAAGAAACCTTAATATACCCTTCTTGAAAAACCCCAAGCTGTAGTCTCGTGAGAAAACCTCGGCAGGAAGTTCATTCCACAATCTAAGTGTACGCGGGAGGAAGCTCCTCTGAAACCGCACTGTCCGAGACCACTTAGGTTCCAGCGTGTGGGAATGAATTCCCTGTCGATAGCGAGCGGTGCGATGGTGAAAGGTGGCCGTAGGCATCATGTCGAACAGTTCCTCAGAACACAGTCCGTTGTATGTTTGGTAGAACACACAAAGCGAAGCGAAGTCTCGCCTCAAACTAAGTGGCTCGATACCGTCAGAGAGATTGATTACTCCTTATTACATCAGCTACCTGTCAAAAAAGATCCATCAAAATCGGTCCCGCCATTTCAGAGATTAGCCGGAACAAACAGACAGACAGGTAAAAATTGTAAAAAATGTTATTTTGGTGTATGCACCGTATTTATACTCAAATGCAGGTAGTAAAAAAACGGTTATTTCAATATTACAAACAGACACTCCAATTTTATTTATATGTATATATAAAGAATTAGATATACTGTTTTAAACTTGACGCGGTCATTAATTATACGTATAATTAGTAAAAATCACGGGATCTTACCACGTTTTATATTTATTTACTGAGTTCCCGATATTCCGGCAGTGTTCCAACCACCATGATCACGGGAACTCAGCAAATAAATATAAAACGTGGTAAGATCCCGTGATTTTTACTAATTATACGTATAAAGAATAGATAAACAAACATGGCTGCGAAATACTGTACATCGTTTAGTAATCTTACTCATAAAAGGTGACTTTGAAAGAAAGAAAGAAAGAAAAATATTTTATTAAGTGCAATGTAAAAAATACAATATAAACAACAAACGAAAAAAAAGAGCAAATAAAATGTACATATAATTAAACTTAATTTACCATAATTAAAAAATAAACATAAAATAAACATTTTTTACATCCAATAATGCACTGAAATGGCTCCACTCAGCTTTAATGTATGTCCTAGGTGAACATACAGCTGGTTTTCAGTGGCACCAAAAATATATATATATATATAAAAGGGGGCGAGAGAGAGGGCACTATTTAAAATATTAATGATAATAATTAAAACAAAATTACAACTAATAAATACAAACCAATTACATATACTAGTAATAACAAAATAGAATAAAATAACATTAATAAACATAAACATTAATAATAATAAAATAAATAATAATAATCCCAGGACAATTCACACAGCGCCATCTAGACCCAAGTTAAGCTAGCTAAAGCTTGTGTTATGGGTCCTAGACAACTGATACAAATACATAGATATTTTTTTTTAAATACATACATATTATCCATAGGAAATACTCAGACCGATACAAACAATCATACTCATGAATACAAATGTTTGTGCCGTGCGAGGAATCGAACCCGCGACCATCGGTCGTAAAGCGGTAGACTGGACCGCTAGACCACCGAGGTCGTCATTTTTATTAAACATATATATACAACTACTTTTCCGTAAGATTAATAGGTTAAATAGTACATAGATAATTCTTGTATAGTTTTTTAATGGTGAATAATGAATCTACCGATGACGCAATATGTCAAGTGGCACCGCGGATGTTACCATGTTAATATGCATAACTAGCCGCCATTGATAGAGGGCGATCAATTAAAACGACAAACAAACATAACACATACCAAAATGAACTCTATATATTTAGTAACTGTACACGCGACTTCGTCCGCGTGGAATTTAACTTTATTTTTATAAAATAAAAGTAGCCTAAGTTACTCCTTATTACATCTCAGTCAACTTCCAGAGTTTGTAGTCAATTTGCCAGAAAAAAATTCAAATGTGTCATAAAATATTTTCTTTGTAAAAACACTTATTATAAAATTGAAGAATTTATAAATGATAATAATGTTTTTGTAGAAAAAATCTTAAGGGGGTCTTCCTATGTGATGGGTTGAAAAAATCGATTTTTTTTTTCATAAATTGCTCCCTTAACATGTCTAGAATACGATAGTAAAGCGATTTTAGAAAATTCGAAGTTGTTTTAAAGATACAGCAGGTAAAAGAAAGAGCGGTTCGGAGCGGTGAGTTGGCAGTTAGAGACCGGGCCTATTGTGTACCGTCGGCTTTATACCTGGCCTCCCTTTTATTAATATATTTGTTTATACAAGTTTAGACACGTTTCTACAGACTTAAACAGGAAAAGGAGCAGGTAAACTTACTGATAAAGTTATCCAAGAAATTACAAAATTCTACGGATTAGCAATTCGACGCCATCCAGATTCGCTTGAAGATATGAGAAAGGAAGTTTGGGCAACGTACTATCACAAATGTTCTTCTGATGAAAACCCTCAGCATCAATTTTGTCCAGAAGGCGAAGACAGTTGGTGTAAATGGCGTAAGGCTGAAGCTAATAATGAACTGGACCAATTTCATCACGATAAACCACCTCTAATTCCGCAAGTCCAAGAAGCTATCAAACCGGTTTTCGAAGATTTATCGAAAGACGAATTATTAATTCGTTGTTTAGGAGCAGAGACACAAAACAATAACGAATCTTTGAATTCTTTGATTTGGACTTTCGTTCCTAAACATCTTCATTCTGGTCCCAAAGTTGTTGAAATTGCTAGCTACTTAGCAGTTATTATCTTTAATGAAGGTTTTCAAGGTATTTTAAAAGTTATGTCGATTATGGGATGCCCTGTTGGTCGTGAAGCCCAAGCGTATGTTGAGAAACGGGATGAAAAGCGAATCTTACGCTCTGAGCGGCGCGTAAGTGATGTCGTTAAACAAGCCAGGATTGACTCAAGAGCTGAACAATCTGCTTTAAAAGAGTTTCACGAGGAAGAGGAAGGAATACTCTATGGACCAGGCATCGCCGATTGAGAGTAAGTTGATATTTTAATAGTTTTTAACGGACTTGAAACTTTAAACGCGTTTTTCTCAAAACTGTGTTTTTCAAACTTTCCTCCATTGTATCTCAGAAACGGCTGGACCGAATTACTTGAAATTTACAGGGCACACTCACTATATTTGTAACGCATGGAATGAACTATTATCAATCGACCATTTTCAAAACTTCGATTTTTTTTATAGCAAAAAACAAAAAAAAAGACGCCTAATTTGCAACTTTTATTTCAAATGTCTATCAAAAATCCAATTTTTTTTATATTCATTTGATTATAGGTCATTCCGTGCTTTTAAGCCTACAAATTAAAACGCCGTTTTTTTTTTTTTTCAGATAAGCCGATCAGCCGGAATCGTGGAGGAAATGGGAGCTCTTTTTTTCGAGGCGGGGGTGTTCAGAGCGCTGTAACTCTAGTTTGACTGAATATTTTTAGCTGAAATTTTATATTTATACTGTCCAAATATGTGTTAATAAATGATAAAAAACTTGAAGCTCTAAATATTTACTGGTCGTAGAAAAAAATCCTAAAATATCCCTAAAAAACAGGCCGTCACATAGGAAGACCCCCTTAAGTGCATAGCGGTTTCTATGTTGATTGTCGCATGCCTAATCCTTGTTGTTAATTAAATATAAGTAAATCAATATTTATTAAAAAGAGCAACACACAAGTTTCTTGCTTATTCTTCTTGTGATGAATCTGCATTCCGAATAAGCGGTAGAATAAAAAAACTTGACTATTCAAAAGTGCTTATATTAAGTTTATTTGAATAAAGATTATTTCTATTTCTATTTCTATTTCAACAGCTAAATAATATACTATACTACATACATATATCAGATAAGTAATATTGAAATAATCTTTTTTAAAAACAAGCGTGTGAATATAAGTACGGTATATACACCAAAATAACATTTTTTACAATTTTTGTGTCTATCTGTTTGTTTCGGCTAATCTCTGCAATGGATGGACCGATTTTGACGGGACTTTTATTAGCAAGTAGCTTATGTAATAAGAAGTAATCTTAGTTACTTTTATTTCAGTACTTTATTATTTACAAGTATCTAATTTTATTTTAGAAAATTGCTTTAATTTTAGAAAACAAAGTTAAATTCCACGCGGACGAAGTCGCGAGTACAGCTAGTCTATATATAAATGTAAATGTTAATCTATATAAATAAATAAGCATTGTATACCTTGACGAGGTTGTTGACTGCCAGCGAGACGGCTTGCACCGGCCGCGCCAGGTCCGGCATGGCGTTGCCATCTTCAGCTTCTTCATGTAATATCACCAGACGGGAAACCTGGAAACCACAAGATTTTCATAAAGTTCAACTGTTATGTCATAACAAACATTTATATATTGACGACTTCGGTGGACTAGCGGTTACATCCGATGGTCGCAGGTTCGATTCCGCGCACGGTACGAACATTTGTATTCATGAGTATGATAGTTTGTATCGGTCTGAGTGTTTTCTATGTATAATATGTATGTATTAACGAAAAAATCTATGTTTTTCACAGTTATCTAGTACCCATAATACAAGTTTTAGCTAGCTTAACTTGGGTCTAGATGGCGCTGTGTGAATTGTCCTGAGATTATAATTATTATGTATAAAATGGAAGGAGATTGTTAGTAGTGTGGACTGATAACCCTATTACTAGCAATGTACCATGTCTGGTTGACCTCTACGCGGTTCCGGAAACCATCGTGATAAAATCCTTGTTAATTTTCCACGATGGGCTAACTGACCTGACCTAATGCTCATCTTATCATGCTCCACTGGTGCCCCGCCAGAGTAAACCGTTAGAGCAGGTAGGTGAACAATAATAATAAATGAATTAATATTATAAAACTAATATATTGATATTGTCTGTAGTCACGGCACTGACGACAGCAATCTACCACGGTAGCGCCGGTACACCGCACCCATCGGGCAGTGATCCTCCTTCATGGACCACTCCATTAAACGATAAAGACCTTGTGCCTACACTTGTAATATTTCTGTCAACACTGGAGACCCTTCCATTAGTTTACGTCTCCAATAATATAGATTTAAGTTAAGTGTAAAACAGTCCGCATTACGACTCCGCGTTTCTAATAAATATTATAGCACATTACCAATACCAATAAATACTAAATTTAATAAATAGTACAATTATTTACCGGTATACTCAAAATTCAAAATTCAAAATTCAAAAATCATTTATTCATGTAGGACATTTCAGCCGCTTATGAACGTCAAATTTTTACATTATAATTTTATTTTTTCCCTACCGTCCAGTTCGGTATATAGATCCAATTGAGAAGAACTGGCAAGAAACTCAATTGAATTACTTTTTTTTTTAAAGCCAGTTTATTTACAATATATTTTTATATAGGTGTCTATGTCTAACATTAAATGAAAATTCAGTGCATGAACAACTATTGCCATGCACCTCGTCATTCAAGTAATCGTTTAGTGAGTAATAGGCTTTGCTCAGTACCTACATACTACAATAAATAATATAGATATTAAGTAGCGACACCTCATCATCACTTCACAACATATGTGGTGAAGATAATCGAGAAAAACGCAAAAAATCGTTCCACACTTTTTGGAATTATCGCGAACATATATATTGCATAATTATGTACTCCTCAACAATGCACGTTGCAAATATTGAGATAAGGAACCCAAGTACCTTGCGATAATTTACATAATTACTTATAGGTATCCGCGTTATCTGAACTCATATACCTACTGACTGATAAGCGTTTATTTTAACAAGCTCTCATTGCATTGAGATACACCTCGAATATATAAACAAGATCAAAAGGAGGGATAACTAAGTAGGAGAGGGAAAGGAAAAATGAGGTCATTAGGCTCCCTAAAATATGGTCGAGCGCAGTGATGGCTGTCTCATCCGTCATACTCGTGAAGGAGTGCTCCTTGTAGGGACTAGTCTGCTATTATCCTATACATTGAGATATACCTCGAATATATAAACAAGACCAAAAGGAGGGATAACTAAGTAGGGGAGGGAAAGGAAAGATGAGGTCATTAGGATTCCTAAAATATGGTCGAGCGCAGTGATGGCTGTCTCATCCGTCATACTCGTGAACGAGTGCTGCTTGTAGGGACTAGTCTGCTATTATCCTATACATATACCTCGAATATATAAACAAGAACAAAAGGAGGGATAACTAAGTAGGAGAGGGAAAGGAAAAATGAGGAATCTAGGAATATAAAAGAAAATTTATAACATCACGCTAAAACTAATGTTGCTAAGCTAAAACTGGGAAAATATGACGGAAACGAATTTGCAGAAGTCAGCCAACAAGTTAATAATAACTGACACATGATCAATCTCCCGTACAATTCAAAAGGGGATCGAAAATAAGACGGCCTGAGCCGAGGTTCGAACCCCTATCGGTGCCGTCCGATTACTGCCCTTTATGGGACACAGTCACCTAGATACATAAAATAATAATTGCATTTAATAATGTCTAGTAAGACAAATTCAATATTGTCTACTAGGCACTGCTGTATCTAAACTGTGTCACCCCACCTTACATTTTCCTATTGTTATTTAGTATATAAGATCATTATTTCTATGTACATATTGTCAGTTTATCATCATCTGTAATATACATCGTCTCGACCAGCAACATCTTATTATTCACCCGCAACACCCTTCAACTGCTTTCTGTTTCTACCCAATGGTTAGCTGGTAGAGAATCCCATATGGCATTAAGCACAGCAATTGTACATTTTAAATAGTGCAATAAAGGATAAAATAAATAAGAGTCCACGTTTCAAAGCCATACAGAAGAATAGAAAAGCTACAGTAGGTTTTTTTTTCGGACTACCCTAATGCTGTTGGCCGCAGCTGGCCTTTACAGCTTCACCGGACGTTAGGGGCGAGTGCAGATGGCACTCCAAACCAAGGAAGGACTTATGGAGCGGCTGAAGGCCAACTCCTGCCTGACGGATACGACTTTAGTCTGAGGGCACCACTAGGGGTTGAACCTCGGCTCAGCCCGTCGTAATTTCGATCCCCGTTTAAATTGGACGGGGGATCGATCGGAGGGGTACGACACAGCAGCGCAGTAATAGAACTCGGGTCGCTATTTTTAGAGATCGATTGCAAAGTAGACTGCTCAATTTCACGAATATATTTCGCGCTTGTATCTAGTGATTACACACTGGCAAAAAACCCATGAATGAACGTCGCCGGATATGGGCAGGCTGCGCGTGCGCAACCCGATATGGTGCGGGCGTCAGCACGGCCTGGCGCCGGCACGGACACCGTGAGACAGGTTTAGCGACAAGTTAGACTTTAAACATATACATAGTCTTCATAACACTAAAATATGCGTTTGACAACTTAACCACAAAAAAAAATGCAAAAAGTCTGTTCAGGACATCCGCGATGTGGTATAGTTTTAGAATAGAATAGAATAGAAAATCATTTATTCAAATAAACTTAATTTAACCCTTAATTCGACGGAGATTTTTGTAGCAAAAGAAACAGATTTTTTTGAGTAGTCATATTTTTGGTTTGAAGTAAGGACAGGAAATATGTTTAAAAAAATTAGTGCTGTACAGTTTTTGATAAAGCACATGTCCGTCACAGCGGACATTGTCACACGTATTTTTCTCAAAACTATGTAGTTCAGTAGATTTCTTTAAATTAGTTGTTCGTCACACTGGACACTATCGAATTAAGGGTTAAGCACTTTTTAATAGTCATAACAATTTTTTTTATCTATCGCTCATTCGGAGAGCTGTCTCATCACAAGAAGAACGAGCGAGAAACTTGTGTGTTGCTTTTTTAAATAATTCTTGTAAGTTTACATTTACAAGTCGAAACGTGCGAATACAAACTACCAACCAGCACTAATTTTTTTGGGTCAAATATAAATATACAATAAGATTAAATCAGTCGTAGTGATAAGAGCAGACCAGTCCCTACAAGGTAAATTAAGAAACATAATTGGCGGTCTAACGGTCTAGCACACCTCTTTACGTTCCATTGTCGCCGGTTCGATTCCTCGCACGGCACACACATTTGTATTCATGAGTTTTTCATGATTTCATACAAACAATCATTGTTTGTATCGGTCTGGGTGTTTTATATGTATAATATGTATATTAAAAAAAAATATCTATGTATTTGTATCAGTTGTCTAGTACCCATACCACAAGCTTTAGCTATCTTAACATGGGTCTAGATGACGCTGTGTGAATTGTCCTGAGATTATTATTGTTATTATTATAATTAATAATATTGAAATCTGTTAAATCATTTCGGTGTACCAGGATGTCATGAATCACCAGGAGACCCAAATAACGAAGTTTCTATCTCAACCAACGGCCAGTCCATCAAAGATTAGGGCTATGTATAAACTAAATACATAATCATTAAAATCAAAAGCTGTATTGAAATCTGTTAAATCATTTCGGTGTACCAGGGTGTCATGAATCACCAGGAGACCCAAATAACGAAGTTTCTATCTCAACCAACGGCCAGTCCATTAACGATTACAGGCTATGTATAAACTAAGAACATAATTGACGACTTCGGTGGTCTAACGGTCTAGCACACCGCTTTACGTCCGATGGTCGCGGGTACGATTCCTCGCGCGGCACAAAACATTTGTATTCATGAGTATGATTGTTTGTATCGGTCTGGGTGTTTTATATGTATAATATGTATATTAAAAAAAATATATCTATATATTTGTATCAGTTGTCTAGTACCCATAACACAAGCTTTAGCTAGCTTAACATGGGTCTAGATGACGCTGTGTGAATTGTCCTGAGATTTTTTTTTCTCAGATTTTGCTGGTTTTCTCCACACTTACGGGCCGAAACCAAGTAAGTGCAGTGTGTGTGTATGTGTGTGTGCGCGTGTGTGTATGTGTGAGTGTGTGTGTACTTATTGTGTGCCTGGTGTGACTGGTGTGATATCCTTTTCATCGATTTCGAGAAATTTTCGGACTGTACGACAGGTATTTAAGATGGCAGATGGTATTATTATTATTATTATAAGATTTGACATATCATAAGTTCTGTAAACTAAAAACATAATCATTAAAATCAAAAGCTATCTTATTGAAATCTGTTAAATCATTTCGGCGTACCAGGGTGTCATGAATCACCAGGAGACCCAAATAACGAAGTTTCTATCTCAACCAACGGCCTGTCCATCAAAGATTAATTATTAAAACGTATTGTTTTCTGTTTGTTTTGGCGCCCTAATACCTTTAATACGGGACCACCTTGGGCCGACTTCAAGGTGGACGGGCGCGGCCGGG